TGTTTATGGCTATTGTAAAGGGTGATGTTTCTCTGATTTCTTTCTCAGCCACTTTATTGTCTGTATATAATAGGGCCACTGATTTTTTTTTTTGAGTTTACCTTGCATTCTGCCACTTTGCAGAGTTTTTCAGGTCACTTATGCAAACTATTATATCATCTGCAAATAGTGAAAGCCTGACTTCTTCTTTTCCTATTTGTATCCCCTTCATCTCCTTTTGTTTTCTTATTGCTCTAGCTAGAACTTCAAGTACAATATTGAAGATATATGGAAACAGTGGATAGCCTTGTCTTGTTCCTGAGTTTAGAGGAATTGCATTGAGTTTCTCTCCATTTAATTTGATGTTAGCTGTTGGTTTACTGTATATTGCTTTTATTATGTTCAGGTATGTTTCTGTTATCCCCGATCTCTCTAGGACCTTTATCATGAAGGGGTGCTGGACTTTGTCAAAGGCTTTTTCAGCATCTAGTGAGATGATCGTGTTTGTATGGTGGATTACATTGATAGATTTTTGTATGTTGAACCATCCTTGCATTCCTGGGATGAAGCCTACTTGATCATGGTGGATGATTTTTCTGATGTGTTCTTGAATCTGATTTGCTAGTATTTTTGCATCGATGTTCATTAGGGAAATTGGTCTGTAGTTCTCTTTCTTGTTTGTGTCTTTGTGTGGCTTCGATACCAAGGTAATTGTAGCCTCATAAAAAGAGTTTGGCAGTGAACCTCCCACTTCTATTGTGTGGAACAATTTGAGGAGTATTGGAATTAGCTCTTCTTTGAATTTCTGGTAGAATTCTGCACTGAAGCCATCTGGGCCTGGGCTTTTTTTGTTTGGGAGACTTTTGATGACTGCTTATATTAAGGGTTATAGGTCTGCTTAGATTGTTTATCTGTTCTTGATTTAGTTTTGTCAAGTGATATCTATCCAGGAAATTGTTAATTTCCTTTAAATTTTTGAATTTTGTGGAGTACAGGTTTTCAAAGTATGCCCTGATGATTCTCTGGATTTACTCAGTGTCCGTTATTATGTCCCCCTTTTTGTTTTTTATTTTGTTAATTAGCATGTTCTCTCTTTGCCTTTCGGTTAGTTTGGACAAAGGTTTGTCCATTTTGTTGATTTTCTCAGTGAACCAACTCTTTGTTTCATTGATTCTTTGCAATGTTTTCCTGGTTTCTACTTGATTGATTTCAGCCCTCAATTTGATTATTTCCTGGTGTCTACTCCTCCTGGGTGAGTTTGCTTCTTTTTCATCTAGAGCATTCAGCAGTGTTATTAATTCTCTAGTGTGACTGTTCTCCAGTTTCTTCATGTGGGCACTTAGTGCTATGACGTTTCCTCTTAGCACTGCTTTCAGAGTGTCCCATAAGTTTGTGTATGTTGCATCTTCATTCTCATTGAATTCCAGGAAGTCTTTAATTTCTTTTTTTTATTTCTTTATTTACCCAGGGATGGTGCAATTGTTCATTGTTCAATTTCCATGTGTTTGTAGGGTTTCTGCGATTTGTGTTATTGTTGAATTCTAATTTTAATTCATGGTGGTCTGATATGATACAGGGAATTATTCCATTTTTTGTATCTGTGGAGGTTTGCTATGTTTACTATTATGTGGTCGATTTTAGAGAAGGTTCCATGTGATGCTGAGAAGAAGGTATATCCCTTTGTGTTTGGGTGGAATGTTCTATAGTTGTCTGTTAAACCCAGTTGGGTCATAACTTCTATTAGTTCCTTTGTTTCTTTGTTAAGTTTCTGTCTGGAGGTCCTGTCTAGCAGTGAGAGTGGAGTGTTGAAGTCTTCTACTACTAGTGTGTGAGATTTTATGTGCGATTTGAGCTTTAGTAATGTTTCTTTCATGAATTTGTATTTGGGGCATAGATGTTCAGAAATGAGACTTCATCTTGATGGACTTTTCCTTTGATGAATATGAAATGTCCTTCTTCATCTCTTTTGATTTCAATTTGGAGTCTAATTTGTTAAGATATTTGAATTGCTACACCAGCTTGTTTGGTTGGAAAATCTTTTCCAAACCCTTAACTCTGAGGTAACGTCTGTCTTTGACATTGAGATGTGTTTCTTGTATGCAGCAGAAGGATGGGTTCTGTCTTTGTATCTATTCAGCTAGTCTGTGTCTTTTTATAGGCAAATTGAGGGATATTAATGACCATTGATTGATTATTCTTGTTTGTGCTTAATTTATTGGTAGTTGTGTTATTGTGTGTAGGGTCTCCTTGCTTTTTCTTTTGGTAAAGTGGGATTATCTATTGCCCATGTCTTTGTGAGTGTAGTTATCTTCGTTGGGTCTAGGTTTTCCTTCCAGCACCTTCTGTAGGGTTGGATTCATGGATATGTATGGTTTAAATCTGGCTTTGTCATGGAATATTTTGTTTTCTACATCTATGGTAATTGAAAGCTTTGCTGGATATAGTAGTCTGGGCTGGCATCCTTGTTTCCTTAGTGTTTGTAGGACATCTGTCCAGGATCTTCTGGCTTCCATAGTTTCCATTGAGAAGTTAGGTGTAATTTGTATAGGCCTGCCTTTTTATGTCACTTGACCTTTTCTTTAGCTGCTCTTAATATTTTCTCTTTATTCCGTAGGTTTGATGTTTTGATTATTATGTGGCAAGGTGACTTCTTTTTCTGGTCCAGCCTATTTGGTGTTCTGTAAGATTCTTGTATTTTCATAGGCATATCCTTCTTTAGGTAAGGGAAGTTTTCTTCTACGATTTTGTTGAATATATTTTCTGTACCTTTGAGCTGTATTTCTTCACCTATTATTCTCACGTTTGGCTTCTTCACGGTGTCCCGTACTTCCTGGATATTTTGTGTTAGGGATTTGTTGGTTTTGAGATTTTCTTTGGTTGATGACTATATCCTCTAATGAGTCTTCAACACCTGAGATTCTCTCTTCTATGTCTTGTATCCTATTGGTGATACTTACATCTGTAGTTCCTGATCATTTACCCAGCTTTTCTATTTCCAGCATACCCTCATTCTGTGTTTTCTTCATTGTTTCTATTTCAGCTTTCACTCCTTCAACTGTTTGAGTTGTTTCCTTTGTTTGGTTGTTTTTTCTTGGTACTCTTTAGATTCTTTATGAGATTTGTTTATTTCTTGATTTTTTTGGTTTGTCTTTTCCTCCATTTCATGTATTTTTTTCTATTTATTTAAGGGATTTCCTTATTTTCTCTTTGAGGTTCCCTATCATCTTCATAAAATAATTTTTAAGATCTGTCTCCCCTGCTTCGTCTATGCTGGCGTTGCTTTTCAGGTCTTGCTGGCATTGTGTCTCTAGATTCTTCTGGAGTCATGTTGGTCTTTCTATTGCTGAGTGAGCTCTTATTCTGTCTTCTTACCATCTTTTCTTCCAGTGGGTGCAGGTGGGGTTTTTATGTGTTCACTGATCTCCTTCTTTCCTGAAGTTGAAGCTGGGGACGCCGGAGTGTGGGTCTGCAAGGACTGATGCTTTTCCTGTGTGTCCAGGTCCTCTGGATGCCAGGAACAGCCCCAGAAGATTGAGGGAGTGGGTGATGGGTGGGGGAGTCGTCCCAGGGGGACCCAAGTTCCTCTGAAGCTGGGGACACCAGAAGGTGGGGTCTCAGTTCTCTTAATTTTTAACTGGATCTTTACTCACCATCTGACATGTTATGAAGTTTAATTATTTAATTCATTACACACTTTGTAAAGCCTGTCTCCATTCATTCCCTTGTGAGAACCTACTGTTGTATGTACAGGGTCCATCTCTATGGAGTGCATACCACACTCCCATTTCTTGGCATGATAGTTTTTGGTGGCACAAACTACTTTCTGATTGATTGTGAGGTCTGTCCCCGTGACAGGGATTCCTTGTCTGATGCTGTGAATTGAGTCAAAGGACTGGGGGACCTAGGTGGGAACTGACTGGTGTTGTTTTGATAAATGGTCATGTTGTCCATTTATAGTTATGTCTGTAGGTTTGTGCTCTCAGCCTTGGTCACAGTCTTGTGGGTCATGCAGACACTCATCGCTGGCCAAAGTCCCAAGAATAAGTGACATAATACGTTTACCACAGACTCAGGAAGTCATCTTCCACATCCGATTCACATGGTTACATGAGTGCAGTTTGGGGATAATTTCTTTGGCCTGAGACCGCTGCCCTATCTGGGATGAGAGTAGAGTTTTAATTGTGTCTCCTCAGAAAGTCACACAACATAAACTCACCTTGACATTACACTCCTGAGCCCTTAAAGTTGGGTTATCATCTTTGGGCAGTGGGTACACTTTTCCTTGATGGCCTTTGCAGGCAGAGTTCTTTAATCTTGTCCTACATCCCGGCATTACTTTTCCGCTTGGTGGTGTCTGCTGATGGTTTCCACTGTTGTTTAAAAATCTGAATCGTCACTTTCAGTTGCTTTCCTCTCAACACGTCTGTTTCTCTTTTTACAGTCTCTCCCCCATATGGAGCTTCAGGTTTGTTCACTGGATTGTGTTTCAGACACTCTTCTCCTGAGTTGGCTTTGTCTTCTATGTTGCACCTCTTCTCTCTCCGTCCAGGGCGCATTTCCTCATTTCATGCCTCTGCTTGCTGGCACAACCTTTGAGGTCATGGATCATTTTGCTAGCGCAGTCTCAAGATGTTCACTCAGCCTTTCACTCACATCAGCATTGATGGACCGAGTAGTCCAGGGGTCACAGTCTTTGGCGGAATCGTGTTGCCTGGCGTCTTTCCATTCCTGGGTCTCTGTTGTGTTTGTTTGGCTGTCTCTTCTGCTTTCATCTGAGACAGCTACTCTTGAGGACTCAACCCAGGGGCAAACATGCTTGTCTCTAGGCTGTTCTTATAAAGACCAGCTATTCCATCAATTTACCTTCATCCGCTCAAATCTACAAGACCACTTTCTGGAGAAGATCACCCTGACAGGCAGCAGACTCTAGGGCGTGGCTCCTCCATTCCTTTATGTGACTTCTTAGAAACCCCACTCCAGTGCTTTAAACTCATCCATACTCTTCTTTCCATGCTACCCAGGGGTGAATGAGTGTGAAGACACAACCACGTGCCCAGCTTACGCCACTTGCACTGACACTGCGTACAGTTATTACTGTACCTGTAAACAAGGCTTCCAGTCTAGCAATGGACAAATCCACTTTGAGGGCCCAGGAGTGCTGTGTCAAGGTGAGTTTATGTTGTGTGACTTTGTGGGGAGGCATGAATGAACGTCTACTCTTACCCCATGTAGAACACTGGCTGTAGGCCAAAGAAATGATCCCCACACCTTGCTCAGGCAGCTCAACTGTTTATTGCTCACACAACCATGGGTAGGGCCTTGTGAGTCTGTTGTGGAAGATGTCTTGACTTCCTTAGTCTTGGGAGCCTCCTTCTCCCTTAGTTCAGAAGAAATCACTACACAAGTGTTTACATTCTGTCAAAGCCTTCCAGTGTTTGATAGGTCAGGCTCATGCTGGCTGGGCACTGGGTTTTGTTACTCCCTGCCATTCCTATCACATGCTCCAAATTCCTCCCTTCCCAGGTACCCTTCCTGTGTATCTATACATTAGTGATAACACATATCTAATTAAGCACAAATCTTTCCCTTTCCCTCCCTCACACCCTCCCTTCTTTCCCCTTTCATCTATACACCTACTCATGCGTTTGCCTATCCTTCCTTCCATCCACCCACCCATCCATCCATCTGTACATCCATCCATTATGCCCATCAATTCATACATCTGTCTATACATGGGAAAGCCATCTACACTCCCCTCCTTCCTTGCCCCACTCTCTGCCTTTCCTCTTTCTTCTCCTTCTACTCACCTGTCTGCCCATCTGTCCACACACAGGGATACCTGTCTCCACACAACCCTCTATTCTTTTCTCCATCCATTTTTTCCCCCTGACTCCCATTCCGTGCAAAAGTTCATAGAAGGCTGTGCTTCAAGACTTAATATCTCAAGAATACAAGGTGTGGTGTTTGACTTAGCAACCCATTCTTTTCTGAACTTGGAACCCAAGTTTAAGACTGCTGGGATCTAGAGAGACCTCAGACTACACCAAAGTCACCAAATGATGAGCACGTAGAAGGTGGTTCAACTGTTATTTGTAGGGCAAGAGCAGTTTGTCACTCCAGCCTTGTTCTTTGCCAGATATAAATGAATGTCTTCAAAGCCACTCACCCTGTGGTCCTAACTCAGTCTGCAAGAATCTCCCTGGGCGAGCCCAGTGCAGCTGTCTTAGTGGCTTCTTTCCTTCCACCGGGCCTAACCAGACCTGGATCCTGGGAAGTCCACGTCAATTTCTCTGCACAGGTAATGTTTTCAGGCTCTCTGCTGTGATTTTTTATGGTTAGCACATGATTCTCTTCACTCCCTCGCTTCCTCTGCCCTGCAGACATTGACGAGTGTCAGACGATCGGGATCTGCCCTAGTTATTCCAACTGTACAAACACAATGGGAAGCTACAACTGCACCTGCCAACCCAGCTTCATCTGAGCAGCTCTGGTTACTGGAGATGGGAGGAAGGGAGATTTCCTTCAGTGGCACAGTAGGCACTGTTAAGTTTTCCTTGGTTACATCAAATGCAATCAAGCACAACAGGGCAACAACAAAGGCATGGGAGAAGGGGAGAAATCTGCTGGAAAGAAAAGAGGAATTGGCAGAAGGATTTGTGGATGGTTACATTTAAAAAGAAGAGGGGTATAGCTGAGTGACTCAGCCCAGCATGTGAAAAGCCCTGGGTTCTGTCCTCAGCACAAACAAAACCATGTAAGAAGTGGCAAGGACCAGGTGCCACAAACCTTCACAAGAGAGGTCATTCCAGATGAAGCCGGGTTGGCAGGTGCAGTTGTAGCTTCCCATTGTGTTTGTACAGTTGGAATAACTAGGGCAGATCCCGATCGTCTGACACTCCCTCCCTTTCTCCCCCCTCCCTCCCACCTAGTTAGAGGCAGGGTCTCTTTTCTGTTCACTGCAGAATACATCAGGCTACCTAGCCTGTGGGCTTCTGAGGATTCTCCTGTCTCTGACTCACCTTGCTGCAGAAGTGCTGGGATTAGACATGCACTGTCACATCCAGCTGGACATGGCTTCACAATCCCACAGTTACTTTTCTGTTGCTGTGAAAAAAACCCATCCTTATTAAAGTTACCTTAAGGAAGAGAGAGTTAATTTGAGCTTATGTGTCCAGAGGGACGAGTTCATCATGGTGGGAAGGCATGTGCGGGGTGGAGCGTGTGGCAGCAGAAGCAGGAAGCTGAGAGATCACAGCTCACCCACAACCATCAAGCAGTGAGAGTGAATTGGAAATAGGGTGAAGCTATGTACTCTCAAAGTTCCCCACCCCCAACTCCGGCAGAGACATACTTTCTCAAGGAAGGCTTCAGCTCCAGAACTTCTCCAAACGGCACTATCAGCTGGGCAGCAAGTATCCAGATGCCTGAGCCTATGGGGGATCATTCGTATTCAAGCCACCACATTCCATCCCTTTGTCTCCACAGATCTGTGGCCATATCATAATACAAAATGCATTTAGTCCCAGTCAGAGTTTTATATACTAACAATTTCCTGGCTTAAATGTCATCATTTCTCATAACTCTGACTTTCTGTTTAGATGTGGATGAGTGCTCCAGGAACTCAACTATTTGTGGTCCCACCTTGATTTGCATCAATACCCTGGGGTCCTACAACTGCTTCTGTCCATCTGGATTCTCTTTGTCTACTTCCCAGGTCTCTGGTCATCCAGCAGATAATCAGTGTACAGGTAATCTCCCCAGCTATGTGGAGGACTTGTCAATGGGTATTAAACGGATCCTAAACATAGTGGCTTATAGCAATGGCCATTTGTTCTTGCTAACAATGGGCTAGTTTTTCTGTTTCACTTAGTGTCCTGAAGGCATGAGCCTACAGTGGCTGATAGGTCTCAGTAGTTAGTCTCTGGATGGGCACTCTACTGAGGCACCAGTTTCCACTGTGATGCTTGGACTTCCTTGTAGCATGATTCCTGTTTTCAAAAACAAGTGTGATTCCCAGATGAAGAATGCAGAACGTGCCAGGTGTTTGAGAGTTTGGGCTTGTAGATCTCAGGACGCCACTAACACTTTATCCTGTTGGTTACAGTCAAGAACTGAACTAGAACTCAAAGGGTAAAAACTCTGTATGTCATCTGGTTAGTTTTGGTTGTCATCCGAACAGTCCAGAATTGTCTTGGAAGAGTCTCAGTGAGGAGTCAGGTCCGTCTGTGGGTGTGAGTTCTAGTTTCATTCTGCTGCTGTGACAAAACATCATGACCAAAAGCAACTCGGGGTGGAAAGGATTTGTTGGGCTTATGCTTCCAGGTCACAATTTATCACTGGGGAAAGTCAGGGCAGGAACTTATGTCAGGAACCTGGAGGCAAGAACCAAGGAAGTAGGCTACTTTGATAGGTCACTTTCAGGTTTGCTTACAGGTTCAAGCTTAGACAGCTTTTTTTTCATAATTGTGAACTGTTGTAATTTAAGAAAAGCAGTGCGAGAAAGATGCTATGTGACAGGGTTCAAGCAGAGTTTTTTTTTTTAATCAGGGAAAGGGATAATAAAAAGGGGAAAGGGGAGTGGGGAGACTGGCCTCTGGAGACAGGAGCAGCAGGAGACAGGATAGAGGAAAGAGGGGGAAAGGAAAGAAAAAGAGAGAGAGAGGGAGAGAGAAGGAGGAAGAGGGGGGAACAGACAGAGAGAGGGAGAGAAAGAGAGAAGGATGTGAGGTGGGCAGGGCCCTTTTAAAAGGGAACACAGTGAATGTGTACAGGTGGTGCTCTTAGTGCTTGCAGCTGAAGGCATATCCTGTCAGAACCCCAGGAATAGGCCAGTACAGATACCTGAATACTAACAAGAACCACCTATCCAAGGAATAGTGCCACTCATAGTGGACTTGATCCCATCAATTAAGACAATGAGGGCAAGTCCTCACAGAAATGTCTATAGACCAATCTGATGAAGATAATCAATGAAGATTTCCCTTTAGGTGTTTCTAAGCTGTATCAGGTTGGTGATTAATGCTAACCAGAACAGCACATCTGTGGAGGGCTGTTGTGACTATGCTAACTGATGTGAGGTGATCCTCCTGTCATGGGTGGTGTCATTCCCTTGGCTAGGTCCCGGACTACAAGAGAGTGGAGAAGTGAACATTCATGTCTTTAGCTCTTTTTGTTCTTGACCGTGGATGTGACTGCCTGTTTCAAGTCCTTGCCTTGATTTTTCTGCAATGATGAAACAATAAGCCTAATAACACTTTCTCCCATAAACTTCTCTTTTTTCAGGGTACTTTATTACAGTAATTGGCAAAAAACACTAGGACAGGAAGTCATGTGTGTGTTCAGGAAACAGAGGGGTACATGGTGGCCATCTTTGGTGTATCTACCCTACAACGGAGCCCAGTGTATACCTCTTAATCTTCATGAGGGAAATGCTTATTTTTATTGATTTAAAATATTATATTTCTCATGCCTTGTTGACCTTTGCTACATGACGACATTGTTATAAGAAACACAACAGAAGTGGGAAAGTTTAAAGAGGGTTTAGAGTGAAATTCGTTTGGTTCCCATGAAGCTGTTCAGAATGCCTACCAAAGTCAAAGGGAAATGTGAGCATCTCTGTCAGTGTGACAAATGTCTGAGAAGAGCAGCTTTGAGAAGGATTTATTTTAACTGATGCTAAGCTAGGTCAGTGGCCAACACAGTTTCACTTTCTTTTTATCTTTCTTTTTTTTTTGGTGTATGTGTTTCTATGTGTATGTTCATGTGTGTGTTTGTGCACATGTGTCCAGGTAGTACACGCATATGTAAGTAGGCTAGAGGTAAGCCTCAGGTGTCATTCTTCAAGGTCGGCCACCTTGTTTGTTTGAAAGTCTCCCACCAAGCCTGGAGCTCTCTATTATTATGTGTGAGATGATCAGCTTCCCCCCACTCCTTTTAAAATTAAAATTAGAAACAAGCTTGCTTCACATGTCAATCCCAGCTCCCTCTTCCTCCTCTTTTCCCCCACCCTTCACCAACTCCCATAATCCCCCACCCAATCCCCACTCCATTCCCCATGGAGAGTGAGGCCCTCCATGGGGGTTCTCCAGAGTCTGTCATTTCATTTTGGGGCAAGGCCTAGGTCCAGGCTGGGAGAGCATCCCTCATTGTGGGATGGGCACCCAAAGTCCATTTGTATGCCAGGGATAAATGCTGACCTACTGCCTAGGTCTCCTCACTGACACCCACAGAGATGATCAGCTTTAATTGTCAACTTGACACAAGCTAGAATCATCTGGAGAAAAGCCCCAATGGATTGTCTATATTATGTTGGCCCATGGGCATGTCTGTGGGGGATTGTCTTGATTACATAGTAATTGATGTGGAAAGATCCAGCCCACCATGGGTGGCACCATTCCCTAGGCTTGGGGTTCTGAATTGCATGTAGTAAAAGCCAGCAACATACATTCATTCTCTCTCTGTTTCTGACTATGGATAGGACTGGCTGCTTCAAGTTCCTTCCTTGACTTCCCCACAATGACGGCTACAAGCTGGAATTGTGAGCTAAAGTGAACCCTTTCTTCCCAAAACTGCTCTTTGCCAGAGTATTTTATCACAGCAGTGAACCAGGGGAACTGACTGCTGGGGGCATACTGAGGCGCTGAAAGCTCTTTACCCACCCAGCCACTGCTCCCCCATTGCTCATTCTCCACTGTGCAGATATTGATGAATGTGATGCCACATGCCCTTCCAACTCGTCATGTACTAACACTCCTGGGAGCTACTTCTGCACTTGCCACCCTGGCTTTGCACCGAGCAACGGACAGGTGAATTTCACAGACCCAGAAGTGACATGTGAAGGTAAGCAGAGGATTTCCCAGACGGCCTGGGATATGGGCTTCTCCATGTTTTCCTGGATTTCTTTATATTTTTTATTTTAATTGCAGATATTGATGAGTGCATCCAAGATCCATCACCATGTGGACGAAATTCTGTCTGCACCAATGTTCTGGGCTCCTACATTTGCAGCTGCCTTCCCAGCTTCCAACCAGAGCCAGAAGGCTCCCAGGCACATGGCAACTTTAGCTGCAAAAGTAATGTTTTGGTGCCTTGGCATGGGGAGCTGAGTCTTGGCTTTGCTCATAAAACTTTTTTTTCCTTTCTGATAACTGGGTTCTCTGTTTATTTTCATTTCACCCATGGAGTATTTTCCTACTTATTCACTCCCTTATGGATTCATTGCTACACTCAACAGTAGTCAGCGAGTGGATTTTGGATCAACTACATTATTTTTTTTAGACATAGTTTCATGTAGTTCAGGTTAGCCTCAAACCCACTGGTGGCCTTGAACCTTATTCCTCACCCCTCCATCTACCAACTTCTGGAATCACAGGTGTGCAGGACCACACACAGTTTGAAATATAAACTTGAAAGAGTGGAGAGCACATTGGCCCTGGTTATAGTGTGTGCAAAGGTCCTGGGGTTCACACAGAGTGGATAGCTTTAGATGGAAACTGAAACCACGAACAGAGTTCAGGCTCTCTGGTATTTCAGTGTCTTGTGAAAGCATTTATTGTTTTTTTTCTTTCAAGAACAACAAAAGTTTAAAAAGTTTAAGGAATAGATATGAAAATGTCTTTGGGAGGCTACAGCACTGAGCATGAACAGGTATCGGGGAGGAGCTCATGAGCCCTGAGGGAGGGCCAGTTTTCTTTAAGGATGTGTCCCTGTATATTAGTTACTTTTCTGTTGCCTTGATGAAATACCATGACCAAGGCAACTTTGAGAAGAAGGAGTTTATTTGGACTTATGGATCCAGAGCGTTAGAGTCCGTGACGGTGGAGAGCGACTGAGGAAGACATGCTACCTTCTAACTTCCACACGCACAGTCACGCATGATATATGTGTGAGAGAATGTTCACACACCTGTACACCACCACCACACACTAACATCTCAAACAGAACGTGTGTAGCCTGAATGGCTACAATGAATCACAATAACAGCACAAATTTATCTAAGGTTCTTCCCACCACAGGGGTGAGGATGTCATCAGTGCCATTCTGTCCCCAAGCACTCCTTCCCTATTTCATTTTCTTCCTGTTTCCTTCTCACAAAGAACCATCTAGAAATATGTATTTATTATACCTCTTCACTCCCACTATTTGTTCTGGTCTTTATTCAAGGTATAATTCATTACAGTGGGGAAGCTGAGGCAGCTGGTCACATTGCATCCATAGTCAGGAACAGAGAGCTATGCTTGATTTTTCTGTGTGGTCCAAGCTCTCCTGTCCAAGGTATGGTCCTGCCCACAATCAAGATGTGTCTTACCTTACCAGCTAACCTAATTAAGATGATCTGCCACAGGATTGCCCAGACGCCAGTCTCCCAGGTGATCCTGGGTTCTGTTGAGACGATAGTTGACATGGAATGATGACTGTGGCATCGGGCATCATACTCTGCATCATGTCCTGACTTGCTCCCTTTAAACCTGTGCCACACCCTTGGAGCTTCTTAACATGCTGTGTAGCTGCAGTTTGGTCCTAGTCACTGCTGTGTGTTATGGCTGAGGTTGGCTGTTATGCACAAAGGTCACAGAATCAGCTTTGCCTTGTAGTCACACCCCACTGTTTTCTGTGATTGGATTTTCGTCTTCCCAGGGATTCCCTTCAAGTGTAAGGAAGACTTGATAACCAACAGCGAACAGATACAGCAGTGCCAAGCAGGGAATGCCAGGGATTTTGACTATGTAAGTTTTTAATGTATTTTCTTTATTCTTGAGAATTTTATGGATGTATGGTATGCAATGAAATACGATGATAATCACCCCAAACTTTTGCACGATGCCCAACCTCCCTCAACATAGCTCACTTCCAACTTCATGTCCTGTTTTTCTTGGATGATCCACTAAATTCAGTCTCTGGTGCCCATACACGCATGTGTGTGGGTCATCCACTGCAGGATGGAACACTACTAGATGCCACACCACCAAGGAAGAATGATCCTCCTTCTCCCAGAAACTCTCACTGCCAAGGGTTCTTCGGTCTATGCCTAGAATTTTGGCTGACTTGGTCTTGTGTAGATACCCACAGCTGCTCCATGTTCATGAGTGTCTTCGCCAAGTCTTGCCCAGAAGACAGCATCTCACTTCTTTCCTCCCTACTCTTCTTGTCTTAACTTTCTTTCCACTTCTTGGTCCCCTACGTTCCCCAGACACCTTGGTGTGTGTGTGTGTGTGTGTGTGTGTGTGTGTGTGTGTCTTTTATATAGACGTTCTTTTTAGGGACAGGTACATATTTTTATTGAATATGTGATCATTGTTGAACATCCTTAGTTCTTGATGCTTTCCAAGAAACCACTTAGGTTAAATGCTGTTTCAGCAAGCTTAACAAAAGACATGCAGTAGTGAAATGGCAAAATCCATAGTGGCTGTATTGTTTTTAAAAGTAGAAACTCCCAGCACTCGGGAGGCAGAGACAGGCAGATCTCTGTGAGTTCGAGGCCAGGCTGGACTGACAGCCTCCAAAACAATACAGAGAAACCCTGTCTCGTAAAAACAAAAAAAAGAGTAGAAACTACTCCTTTCTTAGTAGAAGACTCCTGCTCTGTGGCCCAAAGTGGTTGTTCCAGTTCCTGCCATCAGATCTGTATTTTAGGCAGTGGAGAGAGCACAAGAAAAAGTTAAAGTTACCTCCCTATTGAAGAATATTGCTTAGACATTCAGTGGCACGGGTGAAGTAAGGATTCCCTTCCCCTTCATCCCTTGCCGTGGCAAGTGAGAAAGATGGCCCCAGGATCATGAGAGTGGGAGAACTAGCCCTGCCCCACGCCAGCTTCAACACATGGTAGAGTGGGCCCTGCATCCCACCCAGGCAGGACACTGGAGCTGTTGTGGGGAGCTCAAGTGAACTAGCCCTGAGGCCATGAAAGGGGAGAGCTGACCCTGTGCCCTCCTCATATTGCCCCCTATATCAATCCGCAGAGAGGGCCCTGCACTTTGTCCTGGATGAGAGTGTGAGGGACCCAGATATGAGGACCCAAGAGCAGGATAACTGGTTTCACGCCTTCCTGAAGGCTGCACCGGGCAAGCTAGCCTAGGCAGTGCTGGAGAGCGCACCTTGGTAGTGATGGTGAGGGAAAGCTACCAGACTGACCAACCCAGCTACCATCCAGACCCAGAACCAGGGCTATGAGTTATCTCACCCCAACATTCACTAAATCTATGGACTGCTGGGTCATGTGAGGGGGATGAACCCATGGATCCAAAACTGCAGGATTTGGATCCTGTCATGACACAGGATGTCCAATAGGAGCCCCAGTGAGAGCCCATTATTGGTGGTGTATCAGAAGCCAGAGGCCTTGAGCCAGACCAAAGACTCATTGCAATGAACACTTGCAAGGAAAGATGAATGGACTAAGGGGTAAATTGTGTGACTCTACGGGCCACACTACAACTTTTGCGACAAGATCCTTTTTTTTTTTGTTTGTTTTGTTTGGTTTTTGGCTTTTCTTTGAAATTTGATTTTGATATGGCAGCAAGGCTGCAAGCACAGAGGGCAGATGTGAGGAGACAGGGAGATGAGCAGGATCAGGGTGTATGGTGTGAAATCCACAAAGAATCAATAAGAGCTAAAAAAAGGAATATGGCTTAGATAAGGAGGTTAGGGCTGAAAGGAATGTGCTGAGTTTTTACTTGGGAGGTGGTGCTGTTGATGTGTCAGTCCTCACCATTGAGGATGGAACTTCTGAAGTAAAATCAACAGCTGGAGACACCCACTTGGGTGGAGAAGAATCCGATAACTGAATAGCCAACCATTTCATTGCTGAATTTCAACAAAAACACAAGAAGGACATCAGTGAGAACAAGAGAGTTATTGCCTGTGAACAGACTAAATGTACCCTCTCCTCCAGCACCTGGGCTGGTATTGAGATTGATTCTTCCTATGAGGGAATCGACTTCTATATCTCCATTATCTATGATCAATTTGAAGGACTGAGTGTTCCATGGCACTCTGGATCCTGTAGAAAAGGCTCTTCAAGATGCCAAACTAGACAAGTCACGGATCCATGACATAGTCTTGGTGGGTGGTTCTACCAGGATCCCCAAGATTCCGAAGCTTCCATGAGATTTCTCCAGTGGAAAAGAACTGAATAAGAGCATTGGCCTCGATGAAGCTGTTGCTTACAGTACAGCTATTCCAGAAGCCATTCTATCTGGAGACAAGGCTGAGAATGTTCAGGATTTACTGCTCTTGAATGCTACACCTCTTTTCCTTGGTATTGAAACTGCTGATGGAATCATGACTGTCCTCACCATTCCTACAAAGCAGACACAGACCTTTACCACTTACTCTGACAAGTTGGATGTGCTCATTCACATGTATGAAGGTGAAGAGGCCATGACCAAGGACAGTAAGCTGCTTGGACAGTTTGAACTCACAGCACCCAGTGGTGTTCCTCAGACTGAAGTCACTTTGACATTGATGCCAATGGCATCCTCGATGCTTGTTCTGGAGATAAGAGCACAGGAAAGGAGAACAAGATCATCACCACCAATGACAAGGGCCACTTGAGCAAGGAGGATATTGAGCACGTGACCCAGGAAGTTGAGAAGCACAAAGCTGAAAATGAGAAGCAAAGAGAGAAGGCACCATCCAAAAATTCACTGGAGTCCTATGCGTTTAGAAAGAAAGCAACAGCTGGAGATGAGAAACTCCAAGGCAAAATCAATAATGAGGACAAAAGAAGATTCTAGACAAGTACAATGCTGGTAAGAATCAGACCACAGAGAAGGAAGACTTTGGAGACCAGCAGAAAGAACTAGAGAAAGCCTGCAGCCTCACCATTACCAAGCTGTACCAGCGTGCTGGTGGTGTGCCTGGAGGACTGCTTCCCTGGTGCGGGAGCTCCTCCTCTGGCGGTATTTCTTCAGGGCCCAGCATTGAAGAGTTGGATTAAGTCAATCCAAGTAGAGGTGACTGGAGAACCTGACCTGTTAAACTCATTGTGATGACATTACCTGTGGAACCTCTACGCACCTTGGAACACTGTTTTTGTGATTAGTTGTGGTAGAATACATACAATATATACTCTAGCTATATTGGTTACTTTTTTGTTGCTGTGATAAAATGTTGTGACAAAAGAAACATAAGGAAGGAAGGGTCTGCCTTGGCTCACAGTGTGAGGATTCATTCCATGGTGGTGAGGAGGGGCTGGTAACAGGATCCTGAGTTGAGACAGCTGGCCACGTTGCATCTGAAGTCAGGAAGCAGAGAGCAATGAGTGCTGATGCTCAGCTCACTCCCTCCTTTCTATACACAGTCCAGAATCCCAGCCAAGGGGATGGTGCCACCTGCAGTGGGCAGTTTTCTCACTCCAATGAACCTAATTAAGTTATTACCCCATAGGAGGCTGAAGAGATTGCTCAGAGATTAATAGCACTGCCTGTCCTTCTAGAAGAACCAGGTTTATATCCCAGAATCTACATGATGGTTTACAACCACTTATAACTCCAGTTCTAGGTCATTCTACATCTTCTGTCCTTCATAGAGACTAGTCAGTCACACAGGTGATCAAAACACCCATACTCATAAAATAGTAAATTAAAAAAAGAGAAAAAGAGGAATCCCCTACCAGCATACCCAAAGTGTACCTGTCTCCCAAGGGGTTGTAGATTTCATCAGGTTCAGATTGGCTGTAACATTACTACCTAAAAGTGTGCAGTTCAGTGGTTTGCAGTGGATTTACAGTGTCATGCAAAAATCATTAGTATCTTGTTCTGGATCTTCATCATTCCCAGTGGAAACTCCATACCCATTAGCAGGAGCTGCCATCCCTCCTCGAGGTCCCAGGAACACTAATTAGCTCTCTCTGCATGGATCTTTGTATTCTGCACATTTCCTGCAGCAGAGACAATTCCTGTAGGCAAATCCTCAGGCTAGGTCACATGATGAGTTTTCACTCTCTGGGAGCCTGTGCACTGAGTTCCATAACGGCCTCATCTATCTACATTCCCACCAGCAGTGCACAAAAGCTATCTCTCACAACACATTGCACCATTCTATTGACTGAGAATATCATACGCACGTTTTGATCAAATCCACTCACTCCTTCTCTTCTAATCCCCCCACCACATTCCCTCCCAACCTCGTGTGCTCTTTGTAAACCCACTGTGATGCTGCAACAATAAAAGACACACTTATTGACAGTATAGTTAAGTATTTATTGTAGAAATTACTCACAAGAGAAAAACAAGCAACCCAGATGAGCCGAGTATTTTTCTGCCACCGAACTGGAAGTGGAAAAGAGGGCAAGAGGTTCTGCTGCCCAGTCCTTTATACCTTCCTCCATACACGCCCCTAGCTATGCCCAAAAGTGGACCTGGCTAGTGACATAGTTCACCGCCTACGTCCGTATACGTCTTTAGTCACGCCTAAAGTGGGTGTGGTTAGCGGTGTGGTAAACCGCCCTTTTATTACCTCATCTGTATGCGCCTCTAATATGCTACATGGCTAATGGCGGAGTACAAATTTCCCCCTACACCACTGAGTCCACTTAATGCTGCCATTGTCTTTTTTTGAGTGTGTCCTTCTGATTCTGATGACATGGAATCTCAATATTGAATTGAAATGTACTTTCATTTATGGCCAATAATTGAACTTTTTGTGTGTGTGTGTGTAACTTGGATATTTGCAATTTTTTTGAGAACTGCCTTTTCACTCATACATTTGTTTTATTAATGTGTAATGATTAGGTACTTTTTGTTTTGTTTGTTTTTGTGAGAAGATCTCACTATGTGGCTGTGTGTTGCCTGGAATTTGATGTGCAGACCAGGCTGGTCTTAGACTCACAGAGAACTGCCTTCCTTCACCTCTCAAGTGCTAAGACTAGAGGTGTGCACCACCACATCTGTCCTGAATGATTAATTTTAATTTTCATTCTGACCCAACCTGGAATTACCTGGGAAGATTCTCAATTAGGGACTGTCTACATTGTGTTGGCCTGTGGGTGTATCTATGGGGGATTGCCTTAATTAAGTTAATTGATATTGGAAGGCTGGGCTTACAGTGGGCAACACCTTTGCCCAGGCAAGGTCCTGAACTGTGTAAGAGTGGCGAGACAGAGCCAAGTACAGGCAAGTGAATGGGCAAGCAAGCATGCATGCATTGCTCTGTGCTATCGACTGTGGCAGTAATGAGCCATTTCAGGTTTCTACCTTGAGTTCCCACAACGATGGGCTGTAGCCTAGAACTGTAAACCGAAGCAAACCCTTCCTTTCCCAGGTTGCTTTTTGTCAAAGTGTTTTTATCTGAGCAACAGAAATGAAATAACTGCCCATACTGATGAGTATATTGGAGCTGTCTCAATGTGGGTGTACAGTACGCCCTGATCAAATCAGCTCAGTTTAGATCTTCTTGTTTCTTGCTCTTTGTTTGTAGCTGGAGTCTTCACCTCTCCTGGTTACTCATGAACTAAATACTAGGCCACTGTGAACTGTGGTTTCCCTGCTGGGCAGGGGGTGCCAGAACTCTCCTGAGAGAATGGGCCTGTTATCCACCAACCTTCTTAACTTCTCTTGAATGAAAACTTGATGGGATGAGTGTTTATTTCCCTGAGGAATTTGGAGCACTTGTATGTTGGGCTCTACTGACCAATTTGCAGACTTCTTGATTCACCACAAACTGACCAGTACTCATACATGCTTTTTCTCCTGTGACACAGGCCTCCTTTTGCACACTTGTGAACGCCACCTTCAGCATCCTGGATAACACCTGTGGGAACAAAAGTGCCCCAGTGTCCCTGCAGGTAACAGCAGCACCTTCTTCATCTGTGTCTGTCTCTTCTCACCACTCTGAGCATGTGCTTGCATGGCTGCATGAATGTGTGTGTGGATTCATGTACATGTGTGTGCATGCACGACTGTATGGATGTGTGTGGGTGTGTGTGGGTGCATGTGTGTCTGTGTGCAAGCGTGATTGCATGAATGTGTATATGTGTGGGTGCATGCGTGTGCGTGTGTATGTGCACATGTGTGTGTAGGCCAGGCATCAGCCTCAGATACCGTCTTCAGCATTGTAGTGTGTCTTTGCCTTTCAGTTATTTTGTTAGCATAGAATACAATGGGATTTTCCTGGCATTTTCAGGAATGTATGTTATTACTCTTTGTATCCCTGCTTCTTCCTGTCTTTTACCCATAGCCTCACCCCATCCAATGCTCTCAGAGTGCTCTTCTGATTTAAAAACATACCAATTTCTTTATTTTGATAATATATTATTTTTTCAAAATAGAGTTTTTATTTGTTCTTTGGGAATTTCATACATGTAATCCATGATTTCACACATGTAAACTGTAACACCTAGCCTGTTATGCCCCGTGAGGAAGGAGAGAGGCAATATTTACGAGTTACAAAGATTTTAATAGTTCACTACATAAGTGGGTCGTTGATAGATCAGGGCTGCAGGACAAGGACGTGGGAGCCGTGTTTCTCCTGACAGCCCTGAATAGGTAGAGAAGCAGTGTTTACAAACATAAAATTGACATTTGTTTGCAAGTTATAGTCACAATTTTTCAGGATTTAGAGATCAGAAGCTTCCTTGAATGTTCCATCATTGCCCACCGATACAATGTAAGCCTTCAGTCCAACCAATCAGATTCATTTGTTCCTTCTGCTGCTGTGAATAGTCACACTGTTTCTAAAGAGCCAATGATGCAGAACAACTACTTCTACAGTTTAAGGAGGAGGTTGATCAGCCATTGGAAAGTTCTCAGCTCTCCTAGGGCTTGGGGACCTGCACTTTATTTCATCCTGCAGATAAAGTGGAATCTGAAGTCAAAATGGCACTACTCAGGCCCAGGCGCTTTTGCCCACTCGCTTCATAAACCATGGTCACAGCTCACACCACTCACCTTTCCCACTACCATCTTTCCTTTCCCTCACACACCATGATCACGCCCCCTTCACATAGTCTCCCTTCCCAAAATAATCCACAGAGTCCAAATTTGGGCAGTCTACTGGAATACTGGCTGATCTTGGACCTGTTCTGCATGCATGCAAAGGCGCTGTGAGCTACAGGTGTGCGTAGCCTCTGTCTGCTGCAGGTGTGCACAGCTTCTGTGAGGTACAGACGTGCAGGCCTCTGTGAGCTGCAGGCATGCGCAGGCACTGTGAGCTGCAGGTGTGCGCAGCCTCTGTGAACTCATGCATTAACAGCTTCAGGTCCAGACAGCTGCTGTGAGCTCACGTGTTAACAGCGGGCTGTGTCTGGGGCCAGCCTTTCACTGAACTTCCTCCCCATTCCATCTGTACCTTCCTCCTGCCCCCTCTTCCTCCATGCTCCCCGGGCTGGGGGAGGGGGAGGCTGGTGCCCTATCTAGGGCTGAGCATGTGGTGGTCACTCACTCTCAGCACTTTGATTGGTTACAATGCACCATTTCTCATTATTGCATCCACTTGGGCTCTTTTCATATTTCATTTAGAGTAGCTACTCTGTTCTTCAGATGGCCTCTCACTGGGAAATGCTACCATTTCCACCTAGATGGCTCAGTGCTTCAGGAACCCTCCTTTACCTTCGAGATCCACAGGGATACACTGATGCTTCCAGATTATTTTGTTATTATTTCATTTATTTTCTGAGATCATAATATGATTTCTCCTTTCCCTTTAGTCTAGTTTGAACCTGCTTTGAGGTTAAAGTGAGCTAATTGTGTGCAGTAAATCTGAGCAAAAGAACAAGACAGGTTTTAAATGTCTCCTGACCTCATGTGACAAATAGCTCCAGCTATGAAGCATGTCCCCGTGTATTTTCTATATATCAAAATTATACAACTAAATGAAAAATCATTTTCTGACCATCCACAGATGTAAGTGCCTGTGGATGGAATATTTTCAGGAGATAAACACACAAGCAGTTGGAGAACACTCAGAGCTATTCTTAGGAAAGACATGAAGTGACTCATGAGAGAAATCACAGACAGGAGCAACTGTTTTCCAAAGCCAGTAACTTCATGGCCTTATTAGGTGGGGCTCCCCATCAGAGAATCACTCATCTGGTAGATTAGACTGTTGAACACTAGTTATCACCTGCTTTATAATCCCATGGCCCCTGACACACACACACACACACACACACACACACACACACACACCACACCACACACCACACACACACTGGTGGAGACTTTTATTGAGCACTAACTGAGAAACCTAGTATACCAAACAAACCATGTTTGGTTCTGGACCTCTAAAGTTAAATGCAGTTTCTAAAAGTTGAGTTTATTTATGTGTTTCTTTCCTTGTGTGTATCTGTAAGAGTATAAAAGTGGTAATGTTGGTGCATGGTTTTAATTCAAACACTTGGGAGGCAGAGGCAGGTGGATCTCTATGACTTTAAGGCCATCCTGAGCTACAGAGGGAGTTCCTGTCCAGTCAGGGCTACACAGAGAAACCCTGTCTTGAAAAACAACAATAACAAAGGTGTGTGTGTGTGTGTGTGTGTGTGTAGCTACACATGGAGGCCAGAATGGGGTGCTGGATTCCTTGGAGCTGGAGTTTTCATTGTCTATCTGGGAGTCACTTGACATGCGTACTGGGATCTGAATTTCAGTCCTCATGCTTGAGCATTGAGAGCTTTTAGCCACAGAGTCGTATTAACAGCTCTCATAGCTTAAATCCTGGTGATGCCACTTAATATTAATAAAACGTGTGTCATTGTCTTCTCATCTCAAACTAGAAATAATCATTGCCTGTAATTTCAGAGATGTTGGCTCTGCACTAGATAAGACAATATATATTTATGCATATGCTTACATATGATAGTTAAACTATGTGTATCTGACCCAGGTTTTGGCTCAGTGGGTAAAGAGCTGCTTCGATCTAGGTTCTATCACCAGAACACATATAAAAAAATCTCACAAAAGCTAGGCAGAGCTCATGTATTTGAAATGCCAGCACTGGGAGACAGGGCCCAGGGGTCACTGGCCACCCAACATCGTCCATTTGGTGAGGTCCAGGCCAGTGAGAGGACCTGTCCCAACAAGGTAAATGGCATCTGGTGTGGGAGCCACACAAGGCATGTGATCTCCACACGAGAATGTAGCCTGTGTGCTTGCACACACACACATGCATTCACATGGTATCTACTTTAAACTCTCTGTAGTTTTTGCACACACAGTTACATACATGCATGCACACAGTATCTTCTTTACAACTCTATAACTTCTTATCCTTATGTTCCAGAAATATAAGCTCTATACTCACATTTTAGGGATTTAAAAAATTTTTTATTTTTAAATTTAAATTAGAAAGAAGGTTGCTTCATATGTCAATTCCAGGTCCCTCTCCGATTCCTTCCCCTCCTCCCATCAACCCTTCAATATCCTCTCATTTCCCCAGGGAGGGTGAGGCCCTCCATGGGCATGTCCATAGTCTGTCATTTCATCCAGGGCAGGGTCTGGACCCTCCCCTGGGAGTCCAGGGTGAGAGTGCATCTCTCATTGTTGGATGGGCACCCAAAGTTCATTTGTATACCCCGGATAAATACTAATCTACTACCCAAGTCCCAGTAGATTACTTAGGCCTCCTCACTGACTCCCACGTTCAGGGGTCTTGATCAGTCATATGCTGGAATCCCAGCCATAAGTATGGGATTCAATAGCTAACCCTTGTCAGGTCAGCTGTTTCTGGGGGTTAAACCAGCCCAGTCTTAATCCCTTTGCCTATCAGTCCTCCCTCTCTGTCACTGGGTTCCTTGAGTTCAGCTCAGTGTTTAGCTGTGGGAGTCTGCCTCTGCTTCCATCAGCCATTGGATGAAGGTTCTGTTCCCCAGACTCTCTGGCCATGGGATTGTAGGCTGGCACTCCCCAGATCTATATCTAAAATCCATATATGAGAGAGTACATACCATGCTTGTCTTTTTGTGACTGGGTTACCTCACTCAGGATGCTTTCTTCTAGTGCCATCCATTTGCTTGCAAAATTCAGGATTCCATTGTTTTTTTTTTCCGCTGAGTAGTACTCCATTGTGTAAATGTACCACATTTTCTCTATGCACTCTCCAGTTGAGGGGCATCTAGGTTGCTTCCAAGTTCTGGCTATTACAAATAATGCTGCTTTGAACATAGTGGAGCAGATGTCCTTGTTGTATGAATTTGCATCTTTTGGATGTGTGTCTAAGAGTGGAATTGCTGGGTCTTGTGGTAGATTGATTCCCATTTTCCGGAGGAATCTCCATACTGATTTCCAAAGTGGGTGTACGAGTTGGCACTCTCACCAGCAGTGGAGAAGTGTTCCCTTCTCTCCACATCCTCTCCCGCATAAATTGGGGAGTTCAGATTTTCAAAGTATGCCCTGATGATTCTCTGGATTTCCTCAGTGTCTATTGTATGTCCCCCTTTTCATTTCTGATTTTGTTAATTAGCATGCTCTCTCTCTGGGTTTTGGTTAGTTTGGACAGAGGTTTGTCTATTTTGTTGACTTTCTCAAAGAACCAACTCTTTGTTTCATTGAGTCTTCTCAATGTTTTCCTGGTTTCTACTTGATCGATGTCAGCCTTCAATTTGATTATTTCCTGGCATCTGCTCCTCCTGGGTGAGTTTGCTTCCTTTTGTTCTAGAGCATTCAGTTGTGCTATCAATTCTCTAGTGTGACTGTTCTCCAGTTTCTTCATGTGGGCACTTAGTGCTATGAACTTTCCTCTCAGCACTGCTTTCAATGTGTCCCATAAGTTTGGGTATGTTGTATCCTCATTCTCATTGAATTCTAGGAAGTCTTTAATTTCTTTTTTTATTTCTTCTTTGACCCAGGAATGGTTCAATTGTGCATTATTCAATTTCCATGAATTTGTAGGGTTTCTGCAATTTATGTTGTTGTTGAATTCTAATTTTAACGCATGTTGGTCTTATAAGATACATGGAGTTATTCCAATTTTTTTACCTGCTGGGGTTTGATATGTTTCCAAAGGTTCCATGTGGTGGTGAGAAGAAGGCATATTCTTTTTTTATGTTGATGGAATGTTCTATAGATGTCTGTTAATCCCAATTGAGTCATAACTTCTATTAGACCCTTTGCTTCTTTGTTAAGTTTCTGTTTGGTATTCCTGTCTAGTGTTGAAGTCTCCCACTATAAGTGTGTGGGGCTTTATATGTGATTTGAGTTTTAATAATGCTTCTTTTACAAAGGTGGATGCCTTTGTACTTGGGGCATAGATGTTCAGAATTGAAACTTCGTCTTAATGGATTTCGCCTGTGATGAATATGTAATGACCTCCTTCATCTCTTTTGATTGATTTTATTTTAAAGTCTAATTTGTTAGATATTAGTATTGGTATCCCCACTTGTTTCTAGGGTCCATTTGATTGGAAAATCTTTTCCCAACCTTTAACTCTCAGGTAATGTCTGTCTTTTAGGGTGAGGTGCGTTTCTTGTATGCAGCAGAAGGATGGGTTCTGTCTTCGAATCCATTCTGTTAGCCTGTGTTTTTTATGGGTGAGTTAAGGCCATTAATATTGAGGGATATTAATGACCATTGATTGCTCATTTCCCTTTGATTTGGAATGATTGTTGTTGGTGGAATTATGTGTGGAATTCCACCCCTTTGTACTTTTGACTGTTGGTACAGTGGCATGATCCAATGCCTATGTTTTTCTGGTTGTAGTTAAGTTCCTTGGATTGGAGTTTTCCTTCCAGAACTTTCTGTAGGGTTGGGTTAGTGGATATGTATTGCTTGAATCTAGTTTTGTCATGGAATATCTTGTTTTCTCCATCTATAGTGATTGAGCGCTTTTCCGGGTATAGTAGTCTGGACTGGCATCCATGGTCTCTTAGTGTTGGTAGAATATCCAGAACCTTCTGGCTTTCAGAGTTTCCATGGAGAAGTTAGGTGTAATTCTGATAGGTTTGCCTTTATGTGTTACTTGGCCTTTGTCCTTAGCTGTTCTTAATGTTCTTTCCTTATTCTTTATATTTGGGGACTTGATTATTATGTGGCGAGGGGACTTTTTTGTGATCCACTCTATTTGATGTTCTGTTAGCTTCTTGTACCTTCATTGGCATGTCTTTCTTTAGGTTGGGAAAGTTTTCTTCTATGATTTTGTTCAATATGTTTCCTGCCCCTTTGAGGTGGTTTTCTTCTCCTTCTTCTATACCTATTATTCTTAGGTTTGGTCTTTTCATGGTGTCCCATATTTCCTGGATGTTTTGTGTTAGGGATTTGTTGGACTTAAGATTTTCTTTGGTTGATGAATCAATTTCTCCTAGTATATCTTTAACACCTGAGAGTTTCTCTTCCATCTCTTGTATTCTGTTGGTTATGCTTGTATCGGTAGTACCTGACTGTTTGCCCAGCTTTTCTATTTCCAGCCTTCCTTCAGATTGTGTTTTTTTATTGTCTCTATTTCAGTTTTCAACCCTTGCACTGTTTGAATTGTTTCTTGCAACTTTTGCTTTGTCTTTTCGTCCATTTGTTGCATTTTATGAATTTTTTGGATTGTTTTTTCTTTCATTTCTTGCATTTTTTGGTTTGCTTTTTCTTCCATTTCTTGCATTTTTTGGTTTGCTTTTTCTTCCATTTCTTGGTTTGTTTTTTTCTTCCATTTCTTGCATTTTTTGGATTGTTTTTTCTTCCATTTCTTTGACGGATTTTCCTATATCATCTTTTAGGGCCGCTATCATTTTCATGAAGTTGTTTTTAAGGTCGTTCTCTTCTGCTTCGTTCGCATTGGAATGTTGGAGTCTTGCTGGTGTGGAGTCTCTAGAATCTGGCAGTGTCATATTTGTTTTTCTGTTGCTGAGTGTGTTTTTGTTTTGTCTCTTTCCCATCTCTTCTTCTTACTTGTCTGGTGGTTAGCGGACCAGAGTTCCCTTTCGTTGGGTGCAAGCAAGTCCAATACTCTGGTAGTTCTTCTATTCCTTGTCCTAGTCCTGGTCCCATGGGTGGAGAAGAAGACCAGGAATCTGGGGTGCATATTCTCCCACCTGGTCCTCTAGTCCCATTGGTGGAGGAGAAGACCTGGGATCTGAGGTGCTCCCGCTGGGATGGGAGGCTCTGTGACAGTCAGTAGGCAGTCCCCAGGTACTGGAAGGCAGGCCTGGATGTGGTGCCTTGTTTACCTGGACCTGCTGGTCCCCTGGTCTCATTGGTGGAAGAGAAGACCTGGGATCTGTGTTGGGTGGCTCCCACCAGGATGGGAAACTCTGTCCTCAGGCAATCCCCAGGGACTGGAGCAAAGGGTTTTTCTTTTGTCAACTCTATATGTCTTGTGTGTGTGTGTGGCCTACAGAGGACAGAAGAGTCTGATCCCCCTGGGGCTGGAGTTACAGGCAGCTGTGAGCTACCCAGTGTGGGTGCTAGAACAGAACCCTGTAAGAACTGTGTGTGTTCCTGATCTATGAGTCATTTCAGCCCCACACTTACAACATTTTTAGCAACATTTTTCTTTAGTTTTGAGTTTCATACATCTGTCTGTCTACTCTATTGTGGTTATGTTCTCCCCCTGCCTTCTGTTTCCCCTGGGACCACTTCTGTCCATCTAGTCCCCATTGACTTCACTATTAGTGAAATGACACCTCCTGTCTAGCAGTCATCGACAGTCATTAGTGTCAAGGAAAGGGATGGGGACTTCTTGGCACCGCTGTGATCCATGGTGGGAAGCTGGATGGCCAGGTCTTATGCTGGTAGCCACTGCTGCTGTGTTGCGGTTGTCATGGTGATGCTGCATCTGGCAGCAGCATTTCTTGTAGCTCTTCTCAATCTCGTAGCTCTTTATTTCTTTCCATCCCCTCATCCGAATGTTCCCCGAGTGTTGGGGTAGAGATGTGCCATGCATACCCTGTCTAGGGCTGAGTATTCATCATTCACTTATTCTCAGTACTCTGGCCACATATGAGTCTCTGAAGCACATTTCAAATTTTCTGTTGTTTCTAAGCCTCACTAGATAGGATATGCATGTTAGTTCATAACTTTCTCTCCATGGTGAATGCAGGCGCCGTGTTACTTGTTCACACATGTGAGTTCATACAGCATTCTTCCCTGCTCTGTCAATGATCATGTGACTGGATTCCATGTTAAACAGCCTCTTGAGAACTTAATATTTTAGAAAAAATTAAATGATTACCACTGAGTGAGGTTTTGCAAAATTTTCAAGTGTGTTTGGAAAGATTGATCCCTGGAAAAGAAGTTTCTGGGTCAAACAGCATGTGGAGTATAAGTTGACTCAGGCTCTGGCTTTCCATGCCCTGCAAAGTCAAGGCTGGGCTTAAGCATTCCTAATGGTGTCCCTGAAGTCTAGAAACAGAAATGAGCACATGCCACTTTTGGCTCTTTTTGTTTTGGTTGTGAGCCTAGCCTTTAATGGCTGAGCTATCCCCCCAGCCCTTAAATGTGTAGCCCAGGCTGGCCTCGAACTCGTGATCCTCCTGCCTCTGCCTCCTTCAGTAAATCCTACCGGTGTCCGCTGCCACAACTGGCTTGGCTCTTTTTGTTTATGAGACAGCATCTCACTGTCATCCTGGTTGGGCTCTAAGTGGCTATGTAATCCAGGAGCTACTAGCTCCTGCCTTCTGAATCCTGTGATTTCAGGACTGTGTCACCACACTCAGAAGCTTCATTCTCCTTCTGTCTCATCTACAACTTTATCTCCTAGTGCTAGAGATGGCACAGGCTACTTTGTTAGCTAGATATGGGGAGGAGGATGAGCAGGAGGAGGAGATGGAAGGGGAGTGGGAGGAGGAACAGGAGAAGAAGGGGAGGAGGAAGAGTGGGGTGAGGAGAAGGAGGGAAGTGAGCAGGGGAGGAGCAGGAAGAGAAAGGAGGAGAAACATGAGGGGAAGGAGCTGGGGGAGAAGAGGAGGAGAGGGGAGGAGCAAGAAGAGGAGGAAACTGGGAAGGAGGAGGGGAAACAGCAGGGGGATGAGCAGGACAGAGAGGAATAGGAGGAGGAAGGGGAGGAGGAAAGGAGGGAGTGGTAGGGGTGAAAACATTAGGAAGTGTTTCTTTCCTTGCAGAAAGCAGCTAGGAGCATTTCCCTGGTACTGGAGCAAGCACCCCAGTGGACTGAGCTCAGCCAAGAGGAGACATCTGCCCTGGGCACCATCTTGCTGGAGACTGTGGAAAGCACCATGTTAGCTACCCTTCTGACACCCTCAGTGAATGTCAGCCAGACCATTGAGACGGAGTACCTAGGTAATGCATATCCTTGAGTGCAAGGCTGGTTTTTCAGCACTGACATAGTTGGATTTTCATGACTGTTCATGAACATTCAAAACTTCAGACATGACACCAAGAGGGTGTCATTAATTAATTCAACAAACATTTCTGGGTTGTCTACTACATGATTTAAGATATGATGATAATTTTCTTGTTTTGCTATCTCTAGTTTTCCCTTCCAAGATGACGGTTGGATTGTACTTCTTGGTGTAGCGTTAGGAAGGGATTTGTGACCATGTCAGGTCATCATCATTCTAGAACATTCATTCCCTAGTGACTGAACATCTTTACACCTCAGCTACCCCACCTGCCTCTGCCTTAGAGTTAAGAAGATGAAGATCAGGGTGCAAATCAATTCATGAAGGACACAAACCATTACTGAGAAGTATGTGTTATTTTTAATCCTGTAAGATTTGGGGGATGTTTGTTACTGCAGCATGTGCCATCCTTTCCTGACTGACACATGCTTGATTTCTGATCACTTGCGAATATTGGGTGCCATTGATCTTTGTATGTGCTCCAGTTAGTAATTCTTGTATCAGGCAGTCCCACAGATACCAGAAGTTCTCTCTTAATCACTGCTCTGACCCTGGCATAAGAACGTGGGTAGCATTTTGTCAGCTTTAGGATTTAGACATCTGATACGTGATATAGACACAAGGTTATCAAGAAAAATCTCACAGGCTGAGGGAATTAAGGAGAACTAGGCTATTTTATGTAGTGTAGGCAAGGACTATTACCAGGGCAGTGTGCCGGTGAATCATGATGCATCGAGAGACACATGGGAGACTGGTAAAGCATGCTTCTTGGTGTATCTGCCAGGGCATCTCTAGAGGTGTCTTGGTTTGTGGCATGGTGGTGGATGGGTTTTGAATGAAAGTTTTCTGGTCTGGCTGGGGTCCCATTGCAGGTTAGCACCAAATAAACACACGGATGCTACATTAGTTATAAAAGTGTTGGCCAGTGACTTGGGCTTCTTATTGGCTAACTCTGTCTTAATTATTAACCCATTTCTATTAATCTATGTATTTCCACATGGTCTTGGCTTACCAGACAACACCTGGTGTGTCCTCTCTTCCCAGGCTCTTACATGACAACTCCATCTGCCTATGTTTCCCAGATTTCTCCTCATCTCCTAGCCCTGCCTATACTTCCTACCTGGCCAATCAGCCAATCAGTGTTTTATTCATCAACCAATAAGAGAAACATATATATGGAAGGACATCTCCCATCATATGGGAAAGGCCCCTTTGAGTGAGGGTGGGGCTGTATAGTAGCCAATGTTACCCACTGAGTCAAACAGAAGGAAGAGGCAGTTGCAGAAATAGGCTTTTTTGATCTCTTCCTTTACTTCCTGGCTGCCATGATGGGTCAAACCCTCCAAAGCCAATGTCTTGTGCTTTAAGCTGGTTCTCTCAGAAATTTGTCACATGACTAACACAGGATGGACCTCAGAGATGGCAGCAACATATGTGTAGGGAATACAATTTATTCATCTCGCTCTGTAGCCTTGGCTGGCCTCAGACTCCTTGAGAGCTGTATGCTTCAGCCTCCTGCGTGACAGGATCAAAGGCACACACCACCACACCTTGCAAGAAGAAGGACATCCAAAGTAGCTGATGGCTGTACAGAGCAGTGAAGAGGCCAGTGTGACTGAAGTAGAGTGGACCATGGTGGCTGTGTAGGAGAAAGGCTCACAGTAAAAGAGGGAGAAATCACTGAAGGTGTTGTTGAAGTGAGATGTCGGGGCACCACTGGATAATTTGGGGGCAGGAATGGCATTTACTAACTCTGGCAATGGTATTGACTTTTGACACTGTTGGTGTGTCAGTTCAGCTTTCTGTTACTGCACCAAACTCTTGAGACAGATCAACCTTTAAAATGGAGAGGTCTGATTATGGAACGCATTTTCAGAGGTTCCAACCATGGTTGGTTGTTTTAGAGTTGTAGCACATTATGGCAGTGGCATGGATTGAAGAGTCATCTCACATCATGGTTGGTATAGGGGGATGAGAGTAAGAGAGATAGAGTGAGTGCAAGAGCAATAGCCCTTTGAAGGAATGCCACCAATGACCTTTGTCCCAGGTTCTCAGCCTAAGATTTCCAGCACTTACCACTGGTGTCACGGGTGGGGAGCCAAGCATTCAGTATAAGGATTCTTAATGGGACACTCTACATTCAAACTATTGCAATTGGTCTCAACTCTATTGCTTTCTGCTGCATTCCCTTAACTTATGAACCACCCCACCCCCATGTAGACATGTGTGTTCAGATATAAATGTGTGTATGTGTATGCATGTGGAGGCCAGAAGACACACTAGGCTTTAGTTTCTCTCAGGTGCCACTCTACATGTTTCTTTGCAGCAGGGTCTTTCCCTGTCCTGGAACTCACTCGCTCCATGGCTTAAGATGGCCAATACGCCCCACTGCTGGGATTGTAAGTGTATACCATTGCTGGATTTCTCTTATTTAAGATTTCTGGGAATGGAACCCAGGTATGGCCCCAGATGGCAAAGCTCCCTTCTGAAGCTACAGCAAGGCTTCTCTCTGTTTTGTGATAAGTTCTGTAAAATACTTATTAGTGAATTGTCCTGTGATGTGTAAGCTCACTGAGCCAGCTGTGGAGGTGAGGCAAGACCCCCTTCAGACTCAAACATGTTTGTCATAGAGTGCCTTCCAGCTTCCCTTGTCCAGGGATGGGCTGGTTCCCCAACTCTTTGGGAAGGGGAAATGAAAGTTGAAAGAAAGGAAGAAAGGAAGGAAGGAAGAAAGAAGGAAAGAAAGAAAAAGTAGCTCAAGAGTGGAAACACCATGCCTTTAGAACAGAAAGAGTAACTGCTACAGTGTCTTTAGTATGGTTGAGGGGAAGCATCCCCAGGAACCTTCCAAGGCAGAAGACTCAACTACAGTTAAGCTTGTGATGTAAAGATGTCTGTGGTGGGCACAGCTGGGGGACACTCTAACCCAGGAGAAGACATTCCCTATAGTACTCAGCACTATTCAGGACTGCAGCTGGCTGTTTAGTTCTCAAACCTGTTGGTGTGGAAGGGTCCGATCTGGTCTCTACTGTTGCTCCTCTTTGTTTTATCATTTTGTGCCTGCTTGCTGTACACTTAAATGCACTGACTCAAAGCCCAAATCACCATTTAGGGTAGATTGTCCTCTATATGTAACACTTCCTATCATCCTTTAGGACTAAAGTTTCCTACAATGAACTGGTTTTCCATTATTTCTGCTTTCAACTATAGGTTTGCATATTTTCTTTTTAAAGATAAGCTTTTTATTGTTTTTAAATTATGTGTCTCTGTGTGTCTATTTGTGGCTATATACACATGCACACAGGATCCTGTGGAGGCCAGAAGAGGGCATTGGGTCCCCTGGAGGCACAGGTGGCTGTGAGTCACCTGACATGGGTTCTGGGAACTGAACTTTGGTCCCCTGCAAGAGGAGCAAGTGCTCTTAACTGTTGAACCAGGCTGTTGGCCCCTATGCATCTTTCTTGAACAGAAATCAAATTCAAGATAGATGCACTTTCAGTATGTCTTAACGAGAACACCCCCTTTTCCTTTCAGACATTGAAAGCAAAGTTATCAATGAAGACTGCAATGAGATGAATGTGTCCTTTATCTTGAAAGCCAGAGGCGATGAGATGAATGTTGGCTGTTCCATCATCAAGGAATCAGAATCCACAGGTACAGAGCCACCCTGAGCACCAAGGTAGTGGGGCACAAAGCCCACCAGCCTTACCAGTCCTCTACAGTGTGCGAGGCAGTTACGGGTGGTAGAGAACTGAAGAGAGCAGAGGTGTGGATAACCAGCGCACTCAGAGTTTTCTGCACACTAGGGGTGTCTAATGTTAAGAGCGTGACATGGAATATGGTGCTGTCGCTGTCCAGTGGGGTGTGGCCACCAGCCATGTTCTGACTGTTGAGTTCTTGAGTTGTGAAGGGCCCTCTACCTGGCTCAATCTATTGTGAGGCTTTCCACTGGGTTCTAAAAGTGAATTTGTTGAGCTTCTCATTTCTACAATTTCAGTGTGATGTTATCAGTATTTCTGTCATCTACTGAACATGTCTCTTGTGACCAGTTTATCTTTCTTATTTCATCCAGCTGTATTATTTTGGTATCCTGTTTGGATTGAGTTAACTATTGTTTTAAATTTAGTTTTATTGTCTGATTTTATTGCTTGAGAATCTTGCATGTACATACAATGTATTTTGATAAAACCCTCCCGTCATTTGCTCCTCCCCAATCCCTTCTTGGCCTTCCACCATTTCCCCTTCTCAGCTGTATGCTTTCTTAGATCCACTGAGCTTGCTTCATGCTTCCTGTAAGGGCAAGGGTGTAGGCTCATCTGCCAAGATGGGTAGCATTTCATAGCACACATCCATGAAGACAGTGGGTCTCCAGACACCATCCAACTGCCAACGGCTCCTCAGCTAGGGGTGGGACTCCACGAGCTTCTCGCCGTCCGTGATGGAATTTGAGTCTGGCTTGGTTTTATGCAGTCAGTCACAGATGCTGGGAGAGTTCATGTGCTGCAACGCATCATGTCTGGAAAATCCTGGTTTTCTGTGGCTGTCCACTCTCTCTGACTCTTCAGTCTTCCTGCCCCCTCTGCCAGGCAGGTCTTTGAGCTTTGAGGAAAGCGAGGTGATACCAATTATCCACTTAGAGATGAGCATCGATGCTTTCATTCTTTTGCATCTTTTAGTTTGAGATTTCACCCACTTCACCCTCACTCTCATCTGTCCTTGCAGAATTGATGATTTTTGGATTAGCCAAGTTGCCTTGAGTTTTTCCATCTTTTATGCATTATTGATTGGTATCTACATATCCAGGGTTAGGCAAAGAAAATGAAAAAATAGCAGATAGATAGATATAGATAGATAGACAGACAGACAGCAAGAATCAGAAAAGGTGCTGAAAAGACTCAGCAGAAATCACCTGGGGATACTCCACTGAGGCGACCAACCAGGTTTCTTTTTTCCCTGCTAATTAATTAATTAATTAATTAAATTGGATACAAGCTTGCTTCACATGTCAAACCCAGTTTCCTCTCCCTCCCTTCCTTCTCCACCCCCACCAATCCCCCCAACCCTCAAACTGTCCACCCTCCCCCCGACCCTCCATGAGGGATCTCCAAAGTCTGTCATATTATGTGTCCAGGCTGAGAGAGCATCTCTCCATGTGAAATGGGCTCCCCAAGTCCATTAGTACACCAGAGATAAATACTGATCTACTACCTGAGGCCCCATAGATTGCCTAGGCCTCCTTACTGACACTCATGTTCAGGGGTCTATATCAGTCCCATTTATGGCCTCTCAGCCATCAGTCTGAGATCCATGAAGCTCCCCCTTGATCAGGTCAACTGTCTCTTTGGGTTTCACCAGTCCAGTCTTGACCCCTTTGCTCATCACTCCTCCCTCTCTGCAACTGGGTTCCATGGGTTCAGTTCAGTGTTTAGCTGTGGGTGTCTGCCTCTGCTTCCATCAGTCACTGGATGAAGGCTCTAGGATGGCATATAAAGTAGTCATCAATCTCATTATTGGGGGAGGGCATTCAAGGTAGCCTCTCCACTATTGCTTAGATTGCCAGTTGGTGTCATCCTTGTATATTTCTGGAAATTTTACTAGTGCCAGATCTGTTCTTAAACCTATAATGGCTCCCTCTACTATGGTATCTCTCATTGGGCTCTCCTCTATTCTTTCCCCCAACATGACCTTCCTGCTCCCCTATGTCCTCCTCTCCCCATTTTCTTCTTCCCCCTCTTTCTCCGAGCCCCCTCTTCCCTTCCCCATGCTCCCAATCCACTAAGGAGATCCTGCCACATTTCCCTTCTCTTGGGTGCCATGCATATCTCTCTTATGATCCTCCCTGTTTGCCAGACTCTATGGTGATGGGATTTCAGGCTGGCAATCCTCTGCTCCATGTCTAAAATCCATATATGAGTGAGTACATACCATTTTTGTCATTTTGTGACTGGGTTACCTCACTCAGGATGGTTTCTTTTAGTGCCATCCATTTGCCTGTGAATTTCAAGATCCATTGTTTTTATCTGCTGAGTAGTACTCCATTGTGTAAATGTACCACATTTTCTCTATCCACTCTTCAGTTGAGGGACATCTAAGTTGCTTCCAGGTTCTGGCTAACAGATGTCCTTATTGTATGAATGTGCATCTTTTGAGTATATGACTAAGAGATGAATTGCTGGATCTTGTGATAGACCGATTTCCATTTTCTTGAGGAATCTCCATACTGATTTCCAAAGTTGCTGTACAAGTTTGCACTCCCACCAGCAGTGGAGGAGTGTTTCCCCTTTCTCCACATCCTCTCCAACATAAACTTGAGTTTTTGATTTTGGCCATTCTGACAGAAGTAAGATGGTGTCTCACAGTTTTTGATTTGCATTTCTCAGATGGGTAAGGATGTTGAACACTTTCTTAAGTGTCATTGACCATTTTAGACTCTTCTATTGAGAATTCTCTATTTAGTTCTGTACCCCACTTTTTAATTGGATTATTTGGTGTTTTGGAGACTAGCTTCTTCAGTTCTTTGTAAGTTTTGGAGATGTACCCTCTGTCAGATGTGGGGTTGATGAATGTCTTTTCCCATTTTGTGGGCTGCTGTTTTGTCTTGTTGACTGTGTCCTATGCCTTACAGTAGCTTCTCAGTTTCAGGAGGTCCCATTTATTAATTGTTGATCTCAGCGTCTGTGCTACTGGTATTATGTTCAGTAAGCTGTCTCCTGTAACAACTCATTCAAGGGTACTTCCTACTTTCTCTTCTAAGAGGTTAGTGTGGCTTGCTTTATGTTGAGGTCTTTGATTCATTTGGACTTAAGCTTTGTGCATCTTGATAGATACAGATCTATCTGCAGTCTTCTACATGTCAGCATCCAGTTATGCCAGCACCATTTGTTGAAGATGCTTTCTTTTTCCACTGTATAGTTTTAGCTTCTTTATCAAATATCAGATTTGCATATGTGTGTGGGTTAATATCAGGGTCTTCAATTCAATTCCTTTGGTCTGTCTGTCTATTCTTGTGCCAATACCAAGCTGTTTTCATTACTATAGTTCTATATTAGAGCTTGAAGTCAGGGATGGTGATGTCTCCTGAAGTTCCTTTATTGTGCAGGGTTGTTTTGGCTATCATGGGTCTTTTATTTTTCCCTATAAAGTTGAGAGCTGTCCTTTCAAGGTTTGTGAATAATTGTGCTGGGATTTTGATGGGGATTGCACTGAACCTGTAGATTGCTTTTGGTAAGATTGCTATTTTTACTATGTTGATCCTACCTATCCAAAAGCATGGGAGATCTTTCCATTTTCTGGTATCTTCTTTAATTTATTATTTTTTTTAGTGACTCAAAGTTCTTGTCATATGAGTCTTTCACCTGTTGGGTTAGAGTTACCCCAAGATATTTTATATTGTTTGTGGCTATTGTAAAGGGTAATGCTTGTCTGATTTCTTTCTCAGCACATTTATTGTCTATATATAGTAGGTCACTTATTTTTTGAGTTAATCTTGTATCCTGCCACATTGTTGAAGGTGTTTATCAGCTGTCGAATTTCCCTGATAGAATTCTTCAGGTCACTTAGACTATCATATGTGCAAATAGTGAAAGTTTGACATCTTCCTTTCCAATTTGTATCCCCTTGATTTCCTTTTGTTGCCTTATTCCTCTGGCAGGAACTTCAAGAACAATATTGAAGAGATATTGAGAGAGTGGACAACCTTGCCCTGTTCCTGATTTAAGGGAATCACTTTGAGTTTCTTTCCATTTAGCTCAATGTTGGCTGTTCGTTTGCTGTATATGACTTTTATTATGTTTTGGTAGGTTTCAGTTATCCCTGATCTCTCCAAGACCTTTATCATGAAGGGGTGTTGGATTTTTATCAAAGGCTTTTCAGCATTTAGTGAGATGATCGTGTGGTTATTCTTTTTCAGCTTTTTTATGTGGTGGATTACTTTGATCGGTTTTCTTTTTTTTTCACAGCACATTATCATGCCTACTTTGGAATATATTCCTATGCTGATGGTTTATTTAAAGTTTCTTCTTTTTTTATTTAGATTAGAAACAATCTTGTTTCATCTGTCAATCCCACCTCCTTCTCCCTCCCCTACTCTCCCACCCTCCCCACCAGGTCCCTCAGTTCCCCACCCAATCTCCACTCCAATCACCAAGGAGGGTGAGGCCCTCCATAGTGGAACTCCAGTAACTGTCATTTCATCCAGGGCAGGGCTTAGGCCCTCCCCCAAGAGTCCTGGCTGAGAGAACCTCCCATATTGTGGCATGGGCACTCAAAGTCTATTTGTATGCCATGGGTAAATACTACCCAAGGCCCCATAGATTACCTAGGCCTTCTTACTGACACCCACATTCAGGGAGTCTGGGTCAGTCCCATGCTTTCCACACAGCCATCAGTGTGGAGTCCAAGAACTCCTCCTTGTTCAGGTCAACTGTTTCTATGGGTTAAACCAGCCCACTCTTAACTCCTTTGCCCATCAGTTCTCTTTTTTTTGACACTGGATTCTAGTTCCGTTCAGTGTTTGTCTGTGGGTATCTGCCTCTGCTTTCATCAATCGCTGGATGAAGGTTCTATTTCCTAGACTCTCCGGCAGTGGGATTGTATGCTGGCACTCCCCTGATTCATGTCTAAAATCCATAAATGAGTGGATGCATTTGTTCAAG